CAAGTTTCATTTTTTAAAACAAAAAGCAAAAATGACATAAAGTTTAGGGGGAAGAATGACTTCCAATGATGATTTATTAGAGCAAAAAGCCCACTTGTTGATGATAAGCTGATTGTAGTACTCTCTGCCTATTGATAAGATAACATTTTTCTGATAGTATTTCACAGAATAGCTTGTCAACAAGTGAATCAGTGTGCACTGCATTCTACTTCTTTTGCTGTACTTCTGTCCATCTGTCCATCTGCACACAGCCAGAGTAAGCACATGTTGATGTAGTGAAGTGCTCAGCAAAGAGTACACAGGCTCACAATAAGTGCTGATCGAGGTTACATTTCACTTCTACTTTACGGTTGTAAAATGAGGTTAAAAGCTATTGTGAAACAGAAAAAATCAATTTACCCGATGTTCCGTTTATTTCCTCAATGTTGGCTTCCCTGCCCTAGGGAGGTTTCCGGTTTTGAGGGGCGTTTTAGAACACATTTATCTTGAGATTTTTTTAGCAGGCAAGTATTCAGTAATAGACAAAACAGAGTTTAAGGTTTTGTTTGCATATATTTTAAAAAGCTGTATGTGAAATAATCAAATTTTTGAAACTTTAAACAACGATATCTCATGATCTACATTAGCTATCGGGATTCTCAAATCAGAGTGAGACACGTGTTTTTAAGAGGTTTTAAGCGCAGTTTTTTGTTTGCAAGTGCGCCCTCTACTGGAGAATCAATTTAAATGTGACTTTATCTTCAATCGGCCATTACTCGGGAACCACTTAGAAATTCGGGATTTTGACTTCACCAAAATGATCATAAAGACTTTTTCTACCGGAAAAAAATTTAAAAGTTTAAAAAAGTATGTAAACAACTAGTCAAATAGAGCCCAAACACAAAAAGTTTACCTTATCTTCAATCGGCCATATCTCGGGAACCGCTGGGAATTTTGGGATTCTGCTTTCACCAAAATGTTCCGGAAGGCTTCCTCTACCGGAAATAGGGTCAAAAAGGCAAAAAAGAAACCGGATGTCAAGATAGGGATTCGAACCCTAGCCTCCCTGGAGAGACTGCGACCTGAACGCAGCGCCTTAGACCGCTCGGCCATCTTGACATTGCTGAGGCTAAGTAGTGTGATGCGCACTTTAAGGAAAACCCAAATATTACAAAAGTTGGCTTCTCAGCAACTTTACCAAATGCTATTTTTAGTGATTTAGAGCTCCTGGTAGTTTAGGAATAAAGCTATAAATATAAAGTCCGTAGAATAT